TGCCATTCCCTATCACTCCTCCCTGAGAGAGACTTCACCCTGAGTCATAAGGAAAAGGGGATGGCGTATTCTCTTAGCTACTTCCTGCTGAAAAGCTTTTCCCTCCTCTTTGTTTTCATTTTTCCTCTTTGATGCCAACTGAGGTTGTCAGTAGTATGAAACCAGAGTGATAGGACAAGGGCTGATTATCTGTTACTTTTCTAGATCTTTGAGTTTTATGTCAAGTCTAGGATGGATAATTCCATCCTGAATTAACCTGCCTATGATGCTCACAATTCCTTCAACTCTGTAATCATCAGTGATTTTAAATAAAAAATGGATCAATTATAAACCTAAATAATTACTTTGAAACACAGCTTGATAACTACCTGGCATTTGCCTTTCTTAGCTTTATCGATGCTCTTAAAAGAGTCAACCAAAATGTTTCTGCATATCACTATAGTGTCATGGAAAGACCCTTCTATAGTCTTTGATGTTTCTTGTCTCATTCAGTATTTTCCCCATAAAATCATTCAATTTTTTTTCTAAATTTTTTTCATTCAGTGTTTTGACTAGGGTTTTGCATTTTGTTCTTTGCTTCTTCCTTCTTGAATGCTGTGGATTTTTTCCTTTTGATTTTCTAACTCCTAATTTTTGCATATTTCATTAGAATACCTTTTTTCTAGCTGCCTTTGAAGTCTTCTGTTCAACTCTCTATGTCATCATTTCATCCTTCTACTTTAGCTTCTCTATGATCTAGAACAAATTTCAGACTCTCTTGTGATGTCCATTTTGGCCCTTTCTCTTTCCCCCCTGTCTGCTCAATGACTTTTTGGTTTGTTCATCTATGTTGTGATGTACTATTGAGTTGGAATTGACTTACAACTGACCCTCTAGTAGGTTTTCATGGGCAGTAAATCATACAGGAATTGGTTGCCCATCTTTCTCTTGTGGAGCAACTAATGAATTTGAACTATATACGTTTGAGTTGGCAGCACAATTCCTTACCACAAAGCCTCCAGAGGTTCTTCTTTAGATATGATGTCTTAGATTTCAGATTCCAACTTGTTTGGTCTTTCTTTGGACATTAGTGTTCAGTGCATCAAATCTGTTCTTGAGATGGTCTCTAAATTCAGGTAGGGTATACACAAGGCCATGTTTTGCTCTTTTAGACTTCCTATAATTTTCTCTATTTCCATAAATGTAGTAAATTTGATTTTGGTGTACTCTCTGCCTTTTTTTGTTAAAAAAAGATATTACATTGAGTAAGTTCTTGGTTATCTGAAATCCCATCATGTCATCTCCAGCCTCATTTCTATCACCAAGGCCATGTTTTACAACTTCTTAGTTTCCAACCTTTGCATTCTAGTCACAAGTTATTATTAATGCATCTTGATTTCATGTTCAATCTATTTTAGACTTAAGAAGTTGGCAGAAATTCTCCATTTCTTGTCCTTTGACTTGAATATTGGTTCATAAATTTGCATAATGCTATATTAGTAGGTCTTCCTTTGTATGCAGGGCTATTATTGTATCATGGAGAGCTTTATACTTCAGGATAGATCTTTAAATACCAATTATGTTAATTTGATACAGAAATCTGGAGAATAACCACTTGGCCAACTGACAGGAAGAGATCTATATTTGTTCCCATCCCAAAGAAGGGTGACCCAACAGAGTGTGGAAACTATAGAACAATATCATTAATTTCACATGCAAGCAAGATTCTACTGAAGATTATCCAAAAACGACTGGAACAGCACATCAACAGAGAACTGCCAGAAGTCCAGGCTGGGTTCAGAAGAGGTCGTGGTACTAGAGATATTGTAGCTAATGTTAGATGGATCTTAGCTGAAAGCAGGGAATACCAGAGGAATGTATATCTGTGTTTCATTGGCTATGCAAAGGCATTTGACTGTGTAGATCATAACAAACTGTGGCTGACTCTGAGAAGAATGGGAATCCCAGAACACTTGATCATGCTAATGAGAAACCTATACTTGGAACAAGAGGCAGTCGTCAGGACAGAGCAAGGAAACGCTGCATGGTTCCAAATTGGGAAGGGCATACACCAGGGATAGGTCCTGTCTCCATACTTTTTCAACCTGTATGCAGAACAGATTATCAGGGAGGCTGGGCTTTATGAGGAGGAATGTGGGATCATGATTGGTGGAAGATCTATCAACAATCTGTGTTATGCAGATGACACAACCCTGCTTGCTGAAACTGAGGAGGACCTGAAGCACTTGCTGCAGAGGGTCAAGGACTGGAGCCTCCAATATGGATTGAGGCTCATTGTCAAGAAGACAAAGATTCTGACCACTGGACCAATTGGCAGCATCAGGATGGATGGTGGAGAGACCGAGATTATTCACAGCTTTAGTTTGCTTGGCTCCGCAATCAACACTCTCGGCACCAGTAGCCAGGAAATAAAAAAACGTATTGTGATGGGAAAGTCTGCTATTAGGGACCTTTCCAAAGTACTGAAGAGCAATGGTGTCTCTCTGGAGACTAAGGTGTGTGATAGAGGCGATGGTCTTTGCTATCACTTGTTATGCATCAGAGAGTTGGACAATGACCAAGGAGGATAGAAGGAGAATTGATGCCTTTGAGCTGTAGTGCTGGAGAAGAGTATTGAGGGTACCATGGACTGCTAGGAAAACAAACAGATTCATCCTGGAAAGGGTTAAACCAGGCGGCTCCTTGGAGGCAAGGATTCTGAGGCTTCGTCTGACATACTTTGGACATGTTGTAAGGAGAGACCGGTCCTTGGAGAGGGACATCATGCTTGGGAGGGTGGAGGGACAGCGCAGGAGAGGAAGGCCCTCTATGAGGTGGATTGATTCAGTGACTGGGATAATCAGGATGGGAGTGTCAGAGACAGTGCGATTGGCACAGGACAGAGCAGAGTTCAGGGCTGTTGTACTTAGGGTCGCTATGAGTCGCAAGGGACTCGACGGCATATAACAACAATAGCAATGATATCTTGAGGCTAGAAACTATGCAGTAATATTTTGAAACCCAACAAAGTCACCCATGGTGAATAAGATTCAGGGAAGCTGTTAGACTAAGATAGACTAGGAACCAGGATTGGCCATCTACTTCTGAAATAATGGACTACTGAAAATCTTATGAATAGCAGCAGTGCATTACCAGATATAGAGCCAGAAAATGAAACTATAAGATTGAATGTCACTCAGAATATGACTAGAGAAAGCTGCCGCCTCAGAGAAGACTCATTCTCACTGCTGTTGAATTAAACTCTCAAGTGGACTTTCAGAAGCTATAAATTGCATGGGAGGAAACTACCCATCTTTTTCCCCCAGAGCTACTAGTGCATTCGAACCACCACCATAAGAGGCACCACATTTGGGTTAGCAATACAATTTCCTATGGAACATGCTACCAAAACTCTCTCAAAGAAGAGTTGACCTTAATATTTATATATGTATGCTATTAACCTGTCACCTAAAATGTTTTGCTTCAAGCTGAATTTAGAAATAGTCTTTTTTTTTATCTATAATTATATTTTATTAATTTTCATAAACATTTACAGAGATTCTGGGCTTCCACTCATTCATTGCTGCACCACTCTCTCCACCCTCCTCCCA